ACTTTTAGTCTTTGTAACTAAAAGTAAAATAATAGAACTGTTCTATTATTTTACTATTATGTTATTATTATGTTACTCATATTGACAAATCTTCCATTATTTTACTATTATTCTACTGTTATGCTGCTGTTATGCTGCCATTATTTGGTGGATATAGGTTAGAATAATGGCAGTTTTTTTTTTGTTATTTACCTATTATTCACTCTTTATTCATTTGTTCGACCTGTGCTAGATGTCTAAAAACATGCAATTTATTTTTTAGTATTAAATATATATGCAAAATAATAAAAATCTGCTAATATCTTAACATCATTTTTTTTAAAAACAAGTTTTTAATTAATTTTTTAGCAATTAATTTTTATATAATACCACATATAGTTTTGAGTTATGTAGTTGACTGTACATCCCAATATCTCGTGTAGACGTAATAACAGTTTGTGCCTTAACTATCCTGATATTAGAAACCAGTTTGATGATCTTATCTTCTGAGAAGGTTAATTACACATATAATTTATGAGGCTTAGATATTATTGCTAGAAGGTTCTAGTAGTAATAACACAAATGCAAATGAAGAAGGTTCATGAAGGAATTTGGTAAAAGAGAAAGATCTGAGTTCAAAAGGAAAGAGAAGCAAATCCTCATCTTATAAAGAAAACTCGTTAGTAAAAGCCTCTTTTAAATAAAACTATAAAAATGTAACAGTTTCATTCTTGTTAACGCAGATAATTTACAGGTTACAGATATATTAAATAATACATCATCACTAAATCAACCACTGAGTTCTTTTGATAATACTTTATCATTTTTATAATAAAAGAACTGTTTCTTTTAAAATTATATATAAAATAATCAATTTAAACTAAAATGGTTTCTCATGTTATGCTCCTTAATATTATTATTTCTGCAAAAAATCATCAAACATGTTCATATAGTCAAGCTAAGTATAATCTGACCAAAGAAATATCACAGGTGATTAGGCGGAAATACTTTTTTATACCTAATAAACAGCCCAAAATATTTACGAACAGTAATTTGGTCTTCACTTTGGGTAAATTCATCATCAAAAATTCTGAACAGTGCATTATTATAATGTATACAACTATCATTAATAACAATCCTGATCACGAGTTCGATTCTACTGATGTTCCTCCATGCATGCTTCATTGCATGTTTTCAGTAGTTGTTAATCATAAATCTAAAGAGCTCGATAATTTCATTCATTTCGGTATAGAATGTACTGAATATAATTCTGTCACTAGTACTTCTAATGTAAACATGCAAATTACAGTTCTTTATCATACGGGATCCTTAAGATTTCAAAATTATTTGAGCCATTTAGGCTTAAATATTAAAATAGGCAATACATATTATGTATCAGGTCTTTTTAAATTTTCAATGTCTGGTAAGATGATGATGAAGGCAACTGATATTGACTATTCGAGAACATCAACTATCACCCATAGCACATATGAAAATTACTCTTTGACAACTCCCAATACTTAGTCAATTATCGATAACATTGCCGATAATATTGAATCTGCTTCAACTCAAATTCTGAAAGTTGTTGAACCTATGATTTCCTTAGTTAACCATAGTGCTGCCACTATCTTAGGTCCATCAAAAAATCCAACAACTATTACAAATCCAGATGTGCAAACTGATTTGTCCTATAAGAAAAATTAAGAATGATTATTAGATTATGATGAATTGGATTCTCAAGACGAAGAAAAGCAATCAGATTGTAATGACAGTAAAAAAGACACAGAATTAGATGAGAAAGAAAGTCTACCCAAGAAAAGAAAAAGTGTTAGAATAACTGAAACCAAATCCAAAAAAAAACAAAAAATAAATTGAATTAAAAAAAATTTCCATCTGTACACTATGTGTATATGCTACACTTCATTTTTAAATTCTGTTAATTATTAATCGACATATGTCATTTTTCAATTAGTACAAAACTTGCAAATTAAAAAAAAAAATTTATACATATTTATATTTAACCAAAAATATTCAAATCTATACAAGATATATTAAAATTTACTAATGGAATTAAAAATGTTTGCCTTGAGTATATAATGAGTTCCTCGTTCTATAAGAACAAGATTCAGTACTGTAATTCATTTTTCACAACTACAAGAATTTGGGCAAATTTTTTTAACTTGATATCAATTCAAATCATATTAGTAGAATTTAATTGAAATTCAAATTTTTTTATTTACTTATATTGAAAATAATTAGTTAAGTGTTCTCAGATATTCTTGAGTTGAGCATTTTTGCATTAAGGTTCTTGAGTTGGAGTTCTTGCATAGTATGAAGTGTATGACTTGGACATTGAACATTACAAGTTTGGCGTCACTGAATATCATGAATCAGAAATGTAATATTTTGCTTAATAAGATTTTTTAATATATTAAGACACTTATTGTAGCATTCTCTATCTATCAAGCTTTGTTTGTATATGTTTCTAATATTCAGTTAAAGGTTTTATAGGTCAGAGAAGAATAATAGAAAGAATAATGATTATAAAAAAAAAAATTTTAAAATTTATTTATTTACCAGTATCATCAATAAGCTATCATCAATTATAGTATGATCTTATTAAGAATTGGTCTGGGTCATTTATCAATCAGTAAAATTTAAAAAATGACAGATGTCAATTAATAATCAACATAAATTGAAAAACAATACTTAACATATATATTATGTATAAACTAAAAAAAAATTAAATCAAATGTTATCAATCTTATTTATTATACTGTTTTAACGACAAAGTATATTTTAATAAACATAACTTAGTATTAATCTTCAGTAACTTTACAAGTTAAGTAAAGTTAACACATAATGAAACAATTTTACTATCTCATCATAATTCAATTTAAAGTTAAAATAATTTACCAATTATTATAAAAATTAACAATATAAAAAATAGTAGTGATGTACAATTAAGTAAAGCAGTAGAGCATAATACATTAAATGAGCAAACATATGAATACAAATAATTAGGTCACAACCAGGTATAAAATAATATATTATATATAATATGCAAATGAATATAAAATTTCAGGTGGCTTATATCTAGAAATACAAGAAAACAGCATATTTACACTACAATGAAATCATAGTATGCTAATTTTATAACGATACATAATGATCCAAAAAAATAAGCTTTTCTTATCTTTAATGATCAGAGGTTATCATTCCATTAATCCAACAAAAAATTCTACAAAAAAAAACACAAAATGCCAAATATCTGGCAAATATGCAAGTTAATTTGCACCAGGTTACCAATTTTTGCATCTGAAATTACCTTTTTACTACCAGTAGTTATTACAACTACAACATCATTCATATTTGCATTTTTTATAACTAAGTTATAATCTGTAACTACATATCCAAATGCACATGTATATATGTTGATCCTTATGTGTAATAAATTCATATATGAAAATAAAGTGTAATAAATTAATGTATGAAAAATAAATAAAATATGACAAATAAATCATGTAGACCAATCAAAAGCAAGATTTTGATGGCAAATACCACTTATTGTTTCATATAAACCATCTACTTCGTGATTTCATCATTTTGTTTCTGGTATAAAAAATATTTTATACAGAATAAATATAATTACAATATATATACTAATATATATATACAAAGTTATCTAATAAAAATTATAATTATTACATAGTAATATTAAAAATAAACTTGCTTATATGTAATAGAATATATATAGCTATTTATCTTTTATATCCTGATTATCTATAAAGTTATATGTACAAAAATTAAAAATAATATAAGAAATATATATGTATGTATTTAAATTTTTCATGCTTTTCTTCTATTAAACACTTTATTACTTTTAATTTTCTCTTTTGAAGACATATGTCATTTGTAAAGATATCTGACATATCTAATAATTATATCTCTTATAACATTTTTACTTCACAATTCCCTTTGTTCTATTATATATTTATTTTAAAATATATTATTTAATATATATATATATATATAGGATTTGTCTATATATACGTAACTCTTTGCTTTTTTTAAGATAATCTTCTTGGTAAAATTTTATATAATTATTTAATATATCTCAATTATAATGATCACCTGATGGTTTCTCTAGATTAAACTTGAAGGCAGCTTCATCAATGTTTTCAGAATAAAGATAACTAGTTATCTTGTGACAAATCAAATTTTATAAAGTAGGATGTGATACAGAATATCGAGATAAATTTTTAGTAGGTATTTTTTGATTAATAATTTCTGAAAGAGGCTTGTGAGAGTTTCAATTCTAATGTCTTCAAGAATGTGTAATATATTTTTTTGATCATTAGTAGTTTCAATAACTTTATTTTTTATTTCTAAGATTTGTATGCTTAAATTAGAAATAATTTCTTGAAAGGTTGTATTCAGATTATTATGCATGTCTTGAAACTTTGTAGCTTAAATAGAAACAGTTTTTTGGTGTTGCTCAAATACTTTATTAATATAATTTAATTTGGAATTAGTTTCATTTAAATTTTCAAATGTGATATCCAACATTCTAGCAATTTCTTTCATGTTTAATTATGTTAAAGTTCTTGAACCAGAGGTATCTTGACTAGTATTATTCATTTGTAAAGTTGTAAAAGAAAATATAATGCAGACATATAAAAGAAGAAAGAGTGTAAGCATGTTAAAAAAATAGAATAAGGTTGTATTTATATTTGAATAATTAATATTGCATTATCAAAACAAATCCAATTTGCAGACCTCAAATATAAGTACTACTAAGAAAAAAGAATGGCTTCGGGTTTTCAATTTTTATTTATTTTTTACCAAATTTAGCTTTAAATTTTATGAGCTAATTTGAATAAAATGAATAAAACCATAATGTCTGAAATTATTTTTCAGTGATACTCATATTTCAAAAATCGATCAAACCACTTTTTTTATATTAGTGTTATCAAAAGAAAGCCTGTAATTAAGATTTCAATTGTATCTTAATTATATTTTCTTGATAGCACTTATATATATATTTATCAGATATATATATTGAAGTTATTGATTAATTAATACATTTAACAAAAGCCAAATTTAGGCTTTGTTTATAGATAATAATAATATTATATAGTATTATCAAGAAAACTTTATCATCAGACTTTCAATATATTTTGTATCTGATACAATATATAAATGAAATCTCAATAACAGGTTTTTTCTTAACAGCATGATAATACGACAAATTATGAAATTATCTACAACTAAGTTAGATTTCAAATAATATTAATTTGGATAAACAGGATAATATCCTGTTTGAATTATAAAATCTTCAATATGTAAATAGATTGTTTATTATGCTATAATAGACAATCTATAGATTTTATTTGAAAAACCTGTAATTAAAGTTTCATTTTATTAACAGATAATTAAAGTAAAACTATCTATATAAATCTTTTGGCATAATTTAAATTAACTGCTTAAATTAGCTATATTATTATTTGTAGCCAAATTATAAACTATTAATGAATTTCAAGTATGATGAATAGCACAAAGTATTATCTATTATATTAGCAAGTTATATAGAATTCAGATTTAATAATTGGTCATTATTAATTCTATAATATAAGCTATTAAGCAAATATGAATAATATATGATTTAAAAAGGCTTATAAACCATAATTATTTATTAATTTTTACAGTATAAGCTATTAAGTAAAAATTTATTTATTTATATATATATATAAAATATATTAGTATTAATAGTATATATACTAAATGCAAAGATAACAAATAAATTTATAAAGTAATTTGATGAATAAGTTCAATCTATTCATCTTTTTAAATATTTGCAAGCCAAGTTATAGTTGTATAATTGATCAAATCAAGTATTACCCAGTTGTCATCTAAAGCTTTAAGAAGTTCCACTAATCATGGTCTAGCAGTAGTAAATGTCTCAAGTTTTTGTGCTGAAACCTTTTCACAAAACCCTGAAATATTAATTGAAATCTCATCTAATGCAACTAATTTTTTTTTATTTTGTTTAATAAGTTGATGAACTAGAAAAGTTTCAGAAATAGTACTTTGAATATTCAACAATTGTTGTAAACTAATTCTTCTAGTAAGAAGTACATTAACTTGAGTAGTTGATTTCATTCTTTTGAAACAAGTTGTAAATTTGGTTATCCAATTTTTCATGTAACTGTAAGCAAGGTCAAATTTATACAAAAAATGTAATGACATCCTTCTAAAGAGTTCAGAATTGTATGAACTTATTTCAACTTTATGAAGTGATTTGTAACATGTACTTATAAGAGAAGAAAAGATTAATATTTGTTAGTTATTTGAGTCAGATGAATTAATTGAAATATTTGAAGGCAATTTAGGAACTTTACGTAACAAAATAATTTGATTATATAAGTTACTATTATTAAATTCAGATAGAATCGATACAGCAGGCTCTTGTTTTTCTTGATATAAGTCCATACTAAGAGCTTCATTAATTAATGAAGGATCAAACTGTTTTGTATTTGAATTTGAATTTGAATTTTGATGATATGTTTAACATTTTAGATGCTTTATTATATTATTATAATAATCAGATTTTTGAATCTCTAAATTATTATCAAAAAATGATACAATTGCTAGAAGCACTTGTTTGAATAAAAGAAATTTTTTGTATAATTTTATGGCTTTTA